TGGAGGTATGCTTGAATATGAGTATGTGCCCTGCATACTCAGTTCTCATTTGTTTAAACCTCTCGGAACTGGGTCAGATCATCTCACAAGCCCCTGCCTACATCTGACATATAGAATTCTTTGACTATTTTCCAGTGTCAGGGAAATGAAAACCACTTTCAGGAGTGGCCCCCTCTAGGCCCACTCTGGAAGTAAAAACCAGTTTGGAGAGTTCTGTGGTCTGGGTGGACTCCTTTCTGTAGCACCTGTGGTTTCATTCTGGCTGCAGTTAATGACAGTGAGTAACCTAATATGAAAGGATGGCTGGCAGGTCTTCAAGCAAAGGACATAGCCACATAGCTCTGAGATTAAAAACCAGCCTTACTGCCCAGAGAGGCTACACAGAAAACACACATGCAACTCAGTGATGATAATCAAAGGGCCGGAAACATTTTTAGTTGTCATAGGCCTGTAAAGGAACGATAAAGCTACTTCAAACCCTCTGCTCCATGCCAGTAGGCAGCCTGTCTGTCTAGCATGAGAGAGAGGCGTGTGATGGTCAGCAAAGTAGGGTCAAAAGGGACTACCTAGAAAGATCCTACCTTGGAGCCATCACTGCAGTGGAGGCCTCTGGGGACTCACATTTCTAACCAAAGTCTCATTTCCAGAACGGCAAATGGGATGACTATTCTTTTGACGATAGCAAACTTTAGGTGCTCTGAAGAAAGTTTCTGACAACAGCATCCCTTTAGGGCCTGTGTGTGTTTCCTTACTGTGGGTAGTGCTGACACATTCCTATATCCTTCCCTGGCCATTTAGGACCTGGTTTCAAATTCAAGGTAAGTCTTCGTCTCAGGTAGCTTAAACAGCAGTTACTTCTCAACTCTGAAGGGCAAGAGTTCAAAGTCAGGGTTCTTTTTCTTTGCCTTCAGGGAGTGCATGTCACAGCAGCTTTCAGGGGATGACCTTGAGGAACATCTGACGGCAGTGAAGTTATAACCAAGGGGGATTTCGAGGCTCGGGAAAACCACACCAACCAGGGAAGACCTCAAAGGACCTAGAAACCTCACTTCTTCCATCAATCCTATATTTCCATAGCATAATGCTCTACTCCATAAACAGTATTGGGGCTTGATTTTGTTGTTTTAGAAGGCACAAATGTTCTTTGACTTAATGGAGTACTCCATTCCAGAAAAAGGGAAGAGCAAATGTTTTGAATGTTCTCATTCCTGGGGCTCAGTGGGTAAACTTGCCAAGCAAGCCTGACTACTTGAATTCAATCCCTGAATCCTCATAAGGGTAGAAGGAGAGAACTGACCCTACAAGGCTTTTGTTAATCTTACTGGGCAAGAGTAAGTCCACTACTGCTATTCTGAGCCTAACTTGAAGCAGGCTTGATTATATTAGGGTTGCACCCAAGAGCTGTAACTGTCAGGTTAAAGAGAGGAGTCCTGAATATGTTTCTTAGGGCCCTTTTAAGGAATAAAATAAAAGCTCCAAAGAAAATGGGGCAGTAAAAAAAAAAAAAATACAATTTTTTTTTTCAAAAAACAAACAAACAAACCCTAGCCATCACCATGTGGTTGCAATGTAATTAGGAGGAATTAGGGAGGGCTTGTGTGTTCCCCAAAACAAGTCAAGATCATGGATTGGAGCAGGTCAAATTCCAGGAAACAAACAGTGTCTTAGTTAGGATTTTATTGCTGTGAAGAGATACCACAACCAAGGCAACTCTTATAAAGACAAACATTTAATTGGGGCTGTCTTATAGTTTCAGAATTTTAGTCTATTATCATCATGGTGGCAGTGTGCAGGCAGACATGGTGCTGGAGGAGGCAAACATTCTACATCTTGATCTGCAGGTAGCAGAAGGGCACTATCTGCTGCAGGCAGCCAGGAGACTGGAAACCCAAACTTGGAGGAGTTTAAGCATAAGAGCCCTCAAAGCCCACCCCCACATTGACACACTTTCTCCAACAAGGCCACGCCTCTTAATAGTGCCATTCCCTGTGGACCAAGCATTTAAACATATGAGTCTATTGGAGCCAAACCTATTCAAACCACCACAGACATACATTTTTAACAATACAGTATAATGGCTCCTGCTTTCAAAATGGAGTTGGGCAGGGTCTTTACTTCCACATGTGCACTGTGGCATTTGTGCCTATGTGTGCTCCAGCACACACACACACACACACACACACACACACACACACACACACACCAGGGACAACAAACACAATTTAACAAAGAAGAAATTTCTCATTCTAGTTGGTGCTCCACCTGTAAACTATCAGGATATCTCCAGAAAAATTACCCCCCCTTCAAGATAACATTATTGAGACTTCCTAAAAAATTTCCCCAAATCATCACCTCAAACAAAATAACAGGAAGGTTTGCAGTGACAAGGCTGATCAATTTCTCAATCCAGCAGGAATGTCCTCTTTTTTTCCTTCCTAGTTAGGCAGGCTTTACCTTGCTTAGGCAGACTTCATTGAAGGCCCCATTTCAAACAACAACCTGCCTTACAGATCAAAATGGAGGAGTCTGGAGGGATTAATAAAAAATGAATGAGAAAAAAAAGCTAAATCAACCCAAAAGACCCCAGGAACATTTCATTTTTGTTTTGTTTGGAACAGGGTCCCACTATATAGCCCAGGCTGTTCTCAAACTCACAGTCCTCCTAACTTATCCCCCTGATAGTGGGAGTTATAAACATCTACCACCACTCCTTGATTGGCCCCAGCTCTTAGGAAAAAGGAATAGTTGGGCTGTGAATCAACCCAGTGTGTTTCTGTGCAACATGGAACAGGAGCATCAGTTTATACATTATTATAAATGTAAGCAATTACATGTTTTAAGATGGATCCTGAAAGAATAAAGCCCTAGCATAATACTGTCAACACTATTTTACAAG